TATTAGTCGAACAGTGGGGTTGATTGTTACAGTTATAAACCCTCAAAACTGAAAGCGCGAAGCATGTTCAGAGTGATATTTTTATTCGAACTTTGGACTTTCTGATACTCAGCCTGGCTTGCTGACCACTTGAACACGTCCAGTTCAAAGATATATCTGCTTATAATCTAATTCAGTTTTCTATATTAACGAAACACAGATTTCGACAAATTTTCAAATAAAACATTAAGCGTAATAATACAAACCAAAAATTTGAGCGAAACGAAATATTCGACATTCTCCTTGTCCGAGTCTGATGTAAAATAACGAACTTTGTGATAAAATAAGAAAGGTACAACAACAACGGGAAGCCAGTCAGAAGACATAGATCTTATAAATCAACAAACAAAGTTTCACTGCTTTGAGTAGTGTTTCTAAATGTGAGTCCTTCGTGATGATTTGAGTTATCTGATTGATAATGCCAAAGACTTATGTTTCTTCACTACTGATGAAAGCATCATCATTTCTCTGTCTTCACACAGTAAAAAACACGGATGGGGATATTCACATCTACGCCCATCTTGAGGACTTTACCATCTGTTGGCCAAATGAAGTGTAGTAGAATCAACACAATCCGAAGGTGCGAAAACAAAGTTTGTGTGTCATAATGACAGAAATGCCAGTATGTTAGTGTGAAACAAACGTTACCTGGTAATTTTGTTCAGCGCTAACCGACACCCTCATGCAAACACTGGAGTTACTGTAGTGTTAAAATATAGGTAAAAAAAACAACAACTATCAATCGAAATGCGTAAGTTTTTAAACTTTTTTAAGGTGCCGAAACGAGGGGAAGGAAAACATCAAAATAGATGATCCAAAGCTGTCAAAAGAGTCTTGAAACAAAAGTTTAGACATTAGTCTTTTTCTCAAGCAAAATATGAAAAAAAAATGTGGCTTTAAGTTTAAAAAAACGTTGTTTTTAGAAACTTCAAACAAGACTAGAATGTTTTTGAAGTTACACGTGTCATCTTAAATGCTAGATTCGTAGTTCACGTTCATATCTGGGTACATAAAAGAATACTACCAGAAAAATACTTCATAATGTGAATCGTTCTGAACTATCGATATAATTAGGCTAAATAATTCGCCGGTAGCGGCGTGTAACATTCAATATGTACTTTTAGAATGTTATGATACTCGTCTTCCTGGAAACTTGAATAGAGCGAGTAAAGAAGGATGTAATGATAATTATTGTCAGTCTTATTGAGATGTAAGTCACTTAAAATATCAATCAGAAGGTCATGCTTCGCAGCCTATACGAACGTTATATACCATGAAATTTAGACTAAACGTTATTTCACATATATTATTCGGCATGGCCAGGTGGTTATGGTACTCGACTCGCAATCTGCGGGTCGCGGGTTCGAATCCCCGTCACACCAAACATGCTCGCCCTTTC